TTAAGATCATCCTAATTACTTGCTTACAAAATAATTAGTATCACTTACTAAAGTTGTGAGTATTACGTGCAATTTTGTGAGTATTACCGCTGTATCAGCGAGTTCATTGTGTATTTGCAAAATGTCAGTAACGGGCTGAGAGTGTTCAAAGCCAAATTTTGGTAGTGGGCCCGGGGCCCGCGAACCCTCAAAACAGGCGGGGCCTGGGAGGGATTTCCCGGTTTCCCCTCCGGGCCAGTCCTAGTTGCGGTTGAATATCAACTCGAGAGATGTGGCAGTGTTGTTAGTTCGAGCCGACCCCTGCTAGAGGACGGGCACGGTGTGGCGGCGGCGGCGGCACGCACTCTCGCGGTGGCCACCTCGAACTAACTCAGCCATATCTCTCAAGTTGATGCAAAACCGGGGTTTGGCAGACCAATCGCCCCATCAGATACGTGCGAGTCCGCTGAACGGTAAAGCTCTCCAATGAGTTGACAATGTTCCTCCGGCTGGGTCTGGGTTGGGCTTCAGCCTCTCGGACCGAGATTCACTTTTGATCTGTGAACTATACTGTTCCTGACACCTCAACACACTTGTGGCACTGAAACCTCCAGTTTCCTATATCAGCCGAACGTAGATGTGCAGAGGCGCCCGTTTGATTGGACTCACATTTAACGTTAGTTAGGTATTAAAGAATGTTACGAGAGATAACGCTGTTTAAAAAACTTTTACAAAAAGGTATAAGGTATAACGTTATTTTAAATTTTTGTTACTCCAACTAACGTTAAATAATTTATAGTTTAATTCCGAGTTATCTTTTTTAACGTTAACTCGAAAATCATCCGAATTTTGGGTGAAATATTTCAACTAACCGAAAAGAATTAAGAAATTTTCGTTAGTTTCCGAATTTTCGTTACTGTTAAGTTTGCACACCCTGAGGTCCACCCACTAGTGGCATCTTTTTAGAGTTAGTAGCACTTTTGTTGACAGTCGCAGACCAGTCCGTTGCAGCTCAATCGTGCACACCGAAAAGGACTGCATCGTCCGATTCGAGGCGAACATAGGCATGTTCCTGAAGAAGAGTGCGCGTGACGGCGCTAATGGCAATTTAGCGCCCATCTATGCTCTGAATACACTGTAATCCCAAATTGATGCGGCGTGTAGCTTGTATGCAGCTTTCCCAAACGCTTCAAACCACAGGGCTGCCCCCTTAAACATCATGAACGAGTTCAAAAAGTTATGTTTTCAAAGTTTAATGTTCTCTTTGCAGCTGATGTAAGGGCAAACGCATAACTAGACCGAAAATTTCGGCTTTAAGGGCCCCTTATTCGTATTGGGGTATAAAACATACAATTTTTATCACCTGCCTCATTTCGTTTGACACCCTCTAACGGTAGGGTGACCCACGGCCGTAAGGTGTTTCGCATCGAATGCGCCCATCCTCAGACCATTCCAAGACAGCCCCGTTCGGCCCGATCGGACCCCAGGAACCACTCGTTTATGGTTTTCATATTTAAACATGGGTTTGTTTTGGGCTTTTGGGTGTAAAATAAAAAAAAACACCCTTCAGCGTCAGAAAGCCAGAATAGTGCAATGTAATTATAAAATGCATAATCCACGTTAAATCAGGAATCCAGCTATGATCGATCCGACAGCTCTGATCGATCCGAAAACCTTTTTTCTGGTCTGAAATTTTTTCTTGCCGTGGGCCATCCTTACCTCAAGGAAGATTGCTAGGATTAGCTCGAGGGGGT